TCACAACACATCAAGGTATCAAACAAGGATGCGCGCTGGGTTCACTACTCTTTTTAGTAGTGCTAGATAATGCAGGCAAAAAGCAAAGGGAAAGATGAGAAAAATTGCATTATAATACTACAACATGAAACAAACATAACTATCTGAGCTACTATTCGTGGACGATGAATAAATAAAAACTTTTTAAATACCTAGGAACAATTACCGAAGAAAACGAAAAATAAAACCAGGAAATAAACGAAAGATTGGGACGAACCGAAAACATATTTAATACATTGAAAACAACATTTTTCGATAGAAACGGGAGATAACAAGTGAAATAAAACGGTAGTCATTAAAACAGTAGTAAGGCCTACAATTATGTACAGTAGCGTACCTGAATTCTAACTATTTCCATTTCCTTTGTCATCTTTCTGAGGACTTCAACATTTGTTATTCGGTCTACCCAACTTATTTTTAATATTCTTCGGTAGGTCCACATCTCGAATGCTTTAAGTCGATTGCTCACCTCTTTCTTTAAAGTAAAGGCCTCCACCCCATACAGTAGCACCGAAAACACATATGAACGTAATATTCTGATTTTGAGTTGCAAACTAAGGTCTCTGCTGCATAATACTTTTCTCAACTTATTATATGTTGCTCTAGCTTGTCCAATTCTCATTTTTATTTCTTCTGTATACTACTTATTTTCAATAATAATTGTACCAAGATATCTATATTTTTTTACTTTTTCTCTAGGAACCCCTCTTATGTTTAAAATGTCTTGTTGTGTTTTGGAAATTGTCATAAATTTTGTTTTATTAGCATTATGCGTTAGTCCGCTTTCCTCACTAGCATTTACTACATTATCTAAGAATGTTTGTAGATCTTGTATATTCTCTGCAATTAGTATAGTATCATCGGCATATCTGATATTGTTGATGGGTCTGCCATTGACTTTTATTCCAATTGTTACATTTTCGAGTGATTTTTTAATTATTTCTTCCGAATATAGATTGAACAATAAGGGGAAGAGTATGCAACCTTGCCTTACGCCTCTTTTTATCTCGTTTTAGTTCCTCCGAAACTGCTTTGCCTACTCTGACTTTTGCTGTAGATAGATAATTTTTAAGAATATTTTTAGTGTGTTAGACTAATTATTCGGTGGTCATTACATTCCTTTGCATTAAGTTTTTTTGGTAATGTATTTTTTTTAATGGCTTTTTGAATGGATTATTGATCCATTCAGCCACGGTATTATAATAAATACTGTTTGCTACAATATTAAATACTATATACACATGCGCAGCACATATACAAGTTTATGCACGCACATACATATATAGGTATTGTTGTATAAAAATTAAAAAAAATACAAAAAGGAAGTGGAAACATTAAATTGACCTCTATTTAAACTCTTCATTCAGGACCCTAACCAACTTAAATTAATTTACAAATAAGAAATATACAAATAATACTAAATGCTAATAATTAATAATTGTCACAGCGCTAAGACATAAACCCGGTTCAACACCTCGGAGGTTTAGGCCTTCTTTGTGATCGTTTATTTATTTATTTATTTTTTTTTTCTTTTTTTTATACATATATATTTTTTAAATAACAATGTTCGTAGTTTACAGGGAGGTACTTAATATTACATAAGATTAATTATAAAAAACAATAATTGCTAAACACATTAAAGCCGACTCATTCATCCATAAAGGTATTTGTTCTTGAGACAGGGTGTGCATAAAATATTTAATTGCATCATCATTATGCTTGCATCCAAACAACCAATGATTAATATCATCAACGTAACCATTGCAATCACAAAGTTCTGATTCGGATAGATTTAGTTTATAGAGGTATGTCTTGACAGTGGCATGGTTAAAGAGACATCTAACAAACATGGAATAAATATTTCTATTGGGGTAACTTCTTACGGCAAACGGCTCAGTAGGTAAAACTGGATGAATTTTTGTATAAAGATTATTGCTTCGATTACAGAAAGCAAACCATTCAATGTCCCAATTTTGTTTGAGACTTTTCTTGCAAATGGCTGTTAGATCGCTTCTATCTAGCCACTTTATTTCTGATCCTTTTAAGATTGCCTCTTTAACATAAAAATCTGCTTTGAGGTTACCGGAAATACCAAAGTGTCCTTTTACCCAGACGAAATGTACAGTAGTATGTTCTTCCTGCAGCTTAAGTTGGTTTTCTAAAATTTTAACGACAAGACTATTTTTATATAAATGTTGACGTGAGTTTTCTAAAGCTAATAACGCAGACATTGAATCTGATATAATTACTACTTGGTGGTTAGAAATTTTTTTGTTGACCGCCCATTCTAGCGCTTTATGAATTGCGAACATTTCTGCAGAGTATATAGAGCATTGTTTATCTAACTTGAACATTAGGGATTCTTTGTGATCCGGAATATATACAGCACAGCCGACTCCCAATCTTGATTTAGAACCATCCGTGAAGATCCTGCATGGATTATTAAGCTTGACTATCTGATGCTGAAAATCAACTGTATTCTCATTGCCAAAATTGGGAAACCAAACATTGACTTTGGCGTAAGAAACATTGAAATTCGATTGAAAGAATGTCAAGTCACACGGAGTGTTTAGACGTTGAGAAACGTTAGGATATGCCACTGCCAGAATAGGAGAATTTCTGTTATGCCACCATTTGTCGACTAGATTAGAAACAGCAATATCACATATTTTTTGTAGTAGCTCAGTTTGATTGTAAGACTGGCATTTGAGAATAAATTTTTCAGCTAAAAATAGTCGTTTTAAATGTAAGGGAGGTTCCATAGATTCGGCTAGAAGATTCTCTGTAGGTGTAGATTTGAGCGCCCCTAAAACTAATCGCAGAGCCTTATACTGAAGGCGGTCTAGTTTTTTAAGACGACTATTTGTGGCAGATCCGTATAAAAAGCATCCATAGTCGAGAATGGATCTGGTGTATGTACGATAAAACATTAAGTTAATCTTGGGGTCGGCACCCCATCGATAGCGATTAACTACTTTAAGAATATTTAGACTTTTCTCACATTTCATTAAGCACTCGTTAATGTGTTCGTCCCATGTTAACTTGGTGTCCAATGTAATACCAAGATAAGTGTAGTGATTGTGAACGGGTATACTTAGGCTATTAAACATAATGCTGGATATAACTGGTAAACGATGTCGCGTAAAAAATACCACAGCTGATTTCTTCGTAGTAAGCTCAAACCCTTGTTTAAAGAAATACTCTCTTGCGTTACACATAATAGTTTTTATTGAGTTAATACTTTGTTGGTATGAATTATTCACAGTGTAAAACCAGAAGTCGTCCGCATATTGTAATATATTGCATTTAATGCATTAAATACTTTTGGTAATGTAATAAATGTTGATTTGAGCCAATCTCCCGGAATAATATCCGTATTATATATAATATTACGTCTACTATAGTCTACTAATACATTGATCTGATCTTCTGATATTAATTTAATTATTCCATTTGGAATTGTGTCAGGCCCCGCAGTTTTATTATATTTTGCCAGATTTATTACATGTATTATTTCAGCCTTAGTTATATTTGGACCTATATCATGTTCCTCGCAATTGTTCATGCTATCTTGTTGTATCCTGTCGTCCGTAAACAATTTTTGGACGTGTTCTCTCCATCTGTTTAGTTTGCCTTTGATATCAGATATTATTTTACCATTCGTATCAACCAGGGTGTTACAATTGTTGGACCGTCTTTTACCTGCTATTTCTTAAAAATTTTTGTGTAATTCAAAACTATCATGATTTCTCTGGAGTGCTTCTATCTCTAACCATTTGTCGCTCTACCACTTCTCTTTAGCTGCCCGTAATTTTATCCTGATCTCCTTGTGTGTGAATTTGTATTTGTTTTTGTATAATCTTCTTTTGTCTGTTAGTTGCCGGATCTCATTTGTCATCCATGGAGTCTTACCTTCATCGATTTTGTGACTACTCAGCGTATCTTTAATTGGCATCATTAATGTGTTCTTAAATGTTTCCCATTTTTCGTTGGAATCTTCATTATCAATGATTATTGTTTTGCTTAACTCTTCATTAATTTTCAACTGGTTTTACTTTTATATTCGGGTGTTTTAGCAGAGTGCTTATTTGTTGTGTCTTTTGTTGATTTTTTATTTTCTTTAAGTGGATTTCAAATTTTACTATTACTTCTAACAGAGAGACAAAACTCAAGAATCAATGTCATGGAAATAAAGTTTCTGAAAAAAAAAGAAAATAGGAAAATAATAAATAAAATTAGAAACGAAACAATTAGACAAAACCTACAACTAGAACTCATAAACGATAAAATCGCAGAAGGATAACTCAGATGGTACGGGCATGTTTGTCGAATGTTGGATGAAATGCCGAGAGAACAAGTGTTCGAAACACATGTGTAAGAAAAAACTAGAAAAGAAAGAACAAAAGCTATATGGATAGGGGGTGTTAAGAAGGAAGTTGTGAAGACGAGTTCAGAATGGAAAGAAGTACGAAATCAAACGTATGATAGGTGAATCTGGAGACAAATATGCAGAGCTCAACTCCTAAAGGTAGAAAGGCTTAGGACTAAGTAAGTAAGTAATTGAGTAAGCAAGAACTCTATAGGACTTCCCATTGTATTTCCTATGATGCTCTAAATTATTCTTCACCCTGTATTAGTTATTTTAACAACAATCAATCGCTTACGTGAAGTATTTTTTTAAATCAGAAATCCCTTTTCTAGAACTTTTGTAACACATACAAGTTTATATTTATTATTAGTATCCTATAAATATAAAGTTATTTAAAAAGTAAATTTAAGTAATACGTGTTTTGTGTTTTATTAGTAAATACGCTTACGATAGAAAGATCTACGATGATGCGAGAAGTTTCTCGATAGACGTTCCTGCTTCCAACGTGCGAAAACTAGGTCCTAAATATAAATTGGTGGATATAAATTTGACTTTAAGCCAAGTTTGTTCTCAGTAATTAGAAAACTGTAGACGATTGTGGTTAAATATCTTTACTACACTATTAACTTTTAGTGACTAAATCATTCTAGAATGGTACAGGAGGTAAGTGACTTTAAATAATTATTTCATGCCTACATATTTAATGTATTTGTATACAAATTTTAAATATCATTGCTTTACCATAAATATTATTCAAAAGAATTGACGCTGTAACATCGGATTAATAGTCCGCAATAAATTATGACAATAATATGTTGAGTTTACGTTGTTTCTACTAAATTAATCTCTATATACATATCGCATTTAAAACTTTCGCCATCTTTGCGACTCTTAATTTCCATACGTCTCTGTTTTGCCAAATGTCACCTCTCATGCCATACTATCTTATCTCTTTGCAACGCTTTCGCTCTATGTTTTCCGTGGTCTTCCTGATCTTTTCCTTCCTTTTGGATTCTATTTTAATATTTTCTTTAGGAGTCTGTGATTGGGAATCCTTTATGCATGTCATTCCCATAATAAGTGTTTGATTCGTATTTCTTGTCTGATTTTTTTTATTGGTTATCCTTTCTCGTCTTGATTTTCTCGTTGCTCGTTTCAAGTAGTATATCTCTGTGGCTTTTAGTCTCTTTTCTGTTCGTTTCATGCTTAAAGCCTAACGATATGCTACTACTAGGTGCTGAGAGTATTTTTTTTGTAAATCGTTATAACTGCAATTGGTTTCTTGTTGGCAGAATACATTTATAAAGTTTTTGCTAAATTTTGTCTTTTTTAACGCGTGACGCTCATAGGCGTCGTCAGCACTAGATCATTAATGTTTCATCCATATGCTAAGTGACTCACATGTGCGTCTTTGATTTTTAAATTGCAGAAAGTCATTATTGTCAAAAGAAACATTAACTGGAAATTTTAATAGAAAACATATTACAATAATAATATTAATAATTACAAATTATTATCATTATGATACTGTACAAAACAATTTCCAACACAAAGGTCAGGTTTTTCAGGACAGAAGCTGCACTCAAATATCGTGTCTTTTCTTAAATTATTCTTTGAACATACCTTACATCTTTTTCTCTTTATCCGACCTTTAGTATCAACATTAAAAATTTTTGAAATGTTGTGCTTATCTGTTGTTTGTTGTTGTTTGTACACTGGAGTAACCAATACTGTTTCAGAATTTTTTAAAAGATGTCTGATAATTTCTAAACGATATTCATATAAATTCATTTTTCTACCAGTGTACGGAGTATAACTTTTGTACAAATAATAGGAATTTAACAACAAAACTTGAAATATGTGAATACCTATTTTTTTATACCATCTGAGCGTCTTTCGCTCACATGGATAGTAAGCGAGCATTTGATCTTTGCGATCAACACCACTCATAAACTCATTATATTTGGATATAGGTAGGGGTTTTATTTTTATTTGGTTTCTTTTGTTTTCAGTTTCAATAAGATCATTTTTAAATTCCGTGGATATGTACATAACTTCTCTTTTATCTCTCCACTTTCCTACTAAAATGCCATCTTTGTATTGCCCTACTGTCTGTCCTTGTGCTAGTTTAGCTTCTAAAACTTTTTTAGAGTTACCTTTTCTCTTGGAAATTGAAGTTCCTGTGCAAAAAGTATTGTTTTGTAAAAGCGTTTTTGCTAAATCAACACTTCCATAAAAATTATCTATAAAAAGAGAATGCCCAACGTTAAGTTTATCTCGCATTAGTTGTAAATCTACTTTTTCAGAGTGGCCTTTTTCACCTGCAGAGTCATAACGTCCTTTATATAATTACATACGAAGCGCTAAGCCGTTGGGTTCTGCCAACACATACAATTTAAGTCCGTATTTGTGACGTTTGCTTTTTATATATATTCGAAAAGATAATCTATCACGCCACAACACCATACTTTCATCAAGGGATAGATTTTTTTCCTGGTTGATATATTTCAACCATTATACTATTGAAGTAATTTAAAAGTGGTTTAATTTTATAGATTTTATCTTCTATTGTACCCTCTGCTGGATTTCGGCAAAATGTAGACATCTTAAAATAAGCAAGTAACGTTCTCGGCTCATATTATTATGGAAACATTTCAATTGAAAAAGAGGATCGGTATTCCAGTAGTCCTGGAATCTATTGGTTTTCCATGTTCCCATATGCAATGTAAGTCCAAAAAATGTTTTAAGTTCGTTAACAGACACATGCTTCCATTGAGTTATACGTGAATGTTCTGCAACACCGGATAAAAATAACGATTCGGCATAAACTTTTGTTTCCTTCACTATCATCTCAAAAAAAATATCTTCTACAAGAAGGCAAAAAAAAATCATATGGAAGACCAGTCCCTGGAATATCTACTAATAACCCAGAAGATTTGGTAAAATTAAAATTTTGCATTCCAATAGGATTGTCTTTCCACGAATCCTCACTTAAATTTGGCTCCTGTATATTTTCATTCCTATCTGCATTTCCATGTAACGCTTCAACCAATCCAGAATAATCATTTTCTTCTTCAAAATCTAAAGAAAGAAAAAGCAATTGTACAAGAAAATATAATGCTGCAAAGTAATTCTGTTGATAATATTCTAAAAGGTTGAAATTAGAAATAAACATTTCAAAACATGTATACAAATGAAGTTATGGTATACTTTTGAATTCATTTCTCAAATCTCGTATTGGAATCATATCTGTACTTTATAATAAACATACCTGTGTCTTCATCTGACAGAACTACACTATTATTGGATTCACTGAATTCATCTTCACTAGATGAATTATTATTTAATATATTATATAATTGATCAGTACTATATTTTGATCTTTTACAGTTTGAATTATTTGCATTCATTTTACCACACGAATCTTCGATCTTTTACAATGTGAATTATTATTTGCATTTATTTTAACAAACGTCAATAGTTTGATAGTTTGACAACTAAAAAGCATGGCAACCTATTATGAAGGTACGGAATTCTGTAATAGGTTTTAATAAATAAATAAAATAATACAATTATTGTAATAGATAGATACGGATTTCGGTTGTTGACTGTGATAATCAGCATTATCTTTTCTAATAATATAAATCCAAAATAAAAAAGTCTAATAGCAAAAAATAGAATAAGGTTAATTTAAATACTAAATAAAAATAATAAAGATAATACAGAATCTAAATTTAAATAATTTTATGAATTAGTTTTTGTACTTACAGAAAAGATTTTCTTTTTTGATTACCGGTGGCTTTTCTTTGTTTTTTATTTTTATAGTGTTGGTGCAAAACAGAATTATTGTGAGTCCATCTTTGAAAGTCTTACTTGCAGTGCTCATTTCTTCTCTTAGGGCATAAGTTATGTTAGATAATGCTTTCGTCGAAATAAAAATAATCCCGACTCATCTGCGTTAAAATATCTAGCCGTGAGTATCGCTTCAATAAATTGAGCAGTTTTTCCTTTCATTCAGAAACCACTAAGTAATTTTCAGCAGCTGTTTTGTCATATACAAATTTGAAGCAACTATTTTGTCGCTTTCAAAATTTCTCAAGCATAGAAGAACTAGAAGCCTTCATATCAATGCTTAGTTCACTTGAAATTTTTTAACCCCAAAATAATTTTTTAATAATTTTTTAATAATTTTACCAGAAACAATATTATTTTTTAACCCCAATTTATGAAGCAAATCGAAAATAATTTGATTCAATACGGCACCCGAGAAGAAATTACCGAAACACAAGTGAAATTGAAGAAGGTAATGAAAACATTCTAAAATGAGAAAAAGAAAAATATAAGTAGAATTTAAGAAGGTAATGGAAACATTCTAAAAGGAGAAAAAGAAATAATAAAGGACATAGACAGAGTATTTGTCATTATGTATATAAAAATGCCGTAGCCGGTCTGCGCTTTTGTGGAGGAAGTATTCTGGACAAAACACAGGACCAACCTGTCACTTCTGGAACAGCTTCATATAAACAACAGGCTAATAAAAAAAGTAAACCGAGAATACCTAAATTACTTCATCCATAAGAACGGGAACTATGGAACTATTGGTAGTAGAAGGAAAGGTAGAAAATGTTTTTGAGAACTGCTTGATAAATAGGTTAACAGATAGTTTTCTCTACAAACTTTTCCAAAAAGTAAACTTTTATACACAAGGGTATTTATGCTAGACAATACAAAACATAGGTATCTTAAAAACTCACATGTGCGTCATCAGCATATGACTGAAGCGATATCTTGACGCTCATAGGCGTGATTAGCATCTTCTTCTTCTTCTCGTGCCACTCCTAGCGGAGATTGGAAATCATCATGGCCACTGCGACTTTGTTAGCAGCGCGCCTGAAAAGTTCAATCGAACTACACCCGAACCATTCACGTAGATTACGAAGCCACGATATTTTTCTTCTTCCCACAATTCTTTTGCCCTTAATTTTGCCCTGCATGATGTTTCTTAAAAGTTCGTACTTTTCACCTCTCACAATGTGCCCCAAGTATTCCATCTTTCTAGTTTTTATCTCATTTAGAATTTCGCATCTTTTGTCTAAAGTTTGGAGTACTTGCGTGTTAGTGACGCGGTCCATCCATGATATTCTGAGAATGCGCCTATAGCACCACATCTCGAAAGCTTCGATGTTTTTTATGGTCAACTGTTTTAGTGTCCAAGCCTCAACTCCATATAACAGGGTAGAAAAGACATAACACCGCAGCATTCGTGCTTAGCATGCAACGTGTTAAAGGCCATACTTCGCAGCTATATAGAATTATGCTCTTTAATATATTTTTGTAAATTCGCTTTTTATTTCCGTTGTTTATTGATTTATCACATAAGACTTCTTTTAGTTTGAATGAAAGAAAGATATTGATTAGGATATTGGAAACAATCTGCGATAATGGTATGTGGAGAATAAGCGTCAACCACAACTAAGGAATCCTTTATAGCAAATTATGCAAAAATATAAAAATTGTGCTGGGCACGTCACCTTTTAAGAATGGATAAAAACAGTACACCTAATAGAACGCTTAATAGAACTGTGGTTGGACGTCGGCCAGTAGGAAGACCAAGAAAGAGGTGGATGATGATAGCGAAGTGAGAACGGATGCTAAAGAGATAATAAGAGTGGATAACTGGAGGAGAGTAGTCAAGGAAGTGAATGCTTAAAGGCAGATACTGGGGGAAGAAATGACTGACTTGGTCTGCAGTGGCATTAAAAAAACTTCAACATTGATATTGCTTTCCTTCCTTTCATATTTTTGTACAATATGACTTATCCGAGTGTTCGTTTGTTATTTTGTTATTTGAATATATACTTTTGTTATATACTTTGTTTTACCTACGTTGACTTCTAGACCATAAATTTTGTATTTCTCTACCATCTTGCGTGTCATATATTCTATATCACCTATATTATGTGCTACAATAATTTGGTCCAAAGGTATGCCCAGGTTTTGGCATTTATTTTTCCAAGTGCTCCTTTCAATATATTTTTAACAAGTTCGGTGACAAGCAAATATTCTTGTTATAGTCCTTTTGTTATGTCAAATTCTGGTATTACATTTTTTTCTATTTTAATTTGTAATTTGCTGTTCTTGTAGAGTGATTTTACTGCTTCTATTTATTTTATATTGATTTTCGAAATTTGTAGAGTTTCCCAAAGTTTACAAAGAGATACTATCGTACGCGTTTTTTAAGTCAACATATAATATACGAATTTTCTAATTATATGCTTATTTTTTATTATTTGTATCAGTGTAAACAAATTGTAAATCTTCGATTATGTCGTTCTAAATCCGGCTTGTTCTTCTGCCTCAATTTTGTTGAATTTATTTGTGTATACGTAAGTTCAATCCAAAAACAAGCCTTGCTAACGCTGTATAATACAGACAATAATTAAGAAAATAAAGCCATACAGTTAAATCTTTTAATGTATTTAGTAAATTATCTACAACAAAAAATAATTTGTGACGATAACACGCAACTCAAACAGCACTTAATAACATTTCTCTGGTTTTCTATCTCTGGATCTGCCACAAATACACCTTAAACTGTAAGTAAATAAAACTAAAACAATTAATTAGTCGTCCTTTTATTATTATTGCCGCTATAGATACATTTATTTGTCCGTAAGTTTGTTGGCTTTTATTATAATAATTTATTATTTACAGGATTTATTCGAAGTTAAGAAAAATGACAAAGTTGGAAGGTATGCAGTGGCCAAAAAGAATTTAAAAGCAGGAGATGTCATTTTCTCTGAAAAACCTTTTGCTTACGGTCCTAAATCAGGTATTTTATTTATAAATTACCAAGTAAAATATACGAAATATATTTTTAACTATTCAATAACACATTAAACTTCTTAATTTGAAATCTTACATTAAATTTAACTTCCTATCTTCTTCTTTAAGTTCCATCTTCTATCGAAGGTTGGAAATCATCATGGCTATGCGGATTCTGTTGACTGCCGCTCTAAAAAGTTCTCCACTACTGCATTCAAACCATTACCCCAAGTTCTTAAGCCAGGATATTCTTCGTCTTCCCACATTTTAATCCTATAAAGATTAAATTTAGCTTCCTATATATCTATATAATCGGAAAGTTCGGACGTAGGCATTCGAATTTATATTCGAATTTATACATTGGTTCTTCGAGCAGGATTTCAACCAGTGACATATGGATAACAATGAGTATCTTTAATTTTATAAGAATTTTCGTCCTATGAGGTTCTTTTTATTTATATCTTTAAAAAGAATAAGAAAAATCTGCGTATATATACCTGTCACTCACCCGGGTGGTGTTGGGTTCCTTATACCCTAACGAAGTTGTGACAGGACGGGATGCCCGAAGGGGTTAGGCCTTTCACACTTCGTCCCATCACCACTCCCAGAGGGTCATCGTCTAGCTAAAAAGCTCTCCTCTGCCTCTGGTTAAGGTAAAACATACCTCCTGCTATTAACCGATTCCAATTCCGTCTCCCACACATTCATCGGATCGCCAAAGACCAACCCCCTTAGCGGGGCTGCTATCTCTCTTGCGTCGTCTGCCTCTCATCTTCTTCTATTTCGGCCTGTAGCAGTCCCAAGCACACCGAGGCGCTACTTGCTCGTTTCCTAATTCTGTTGTGAGTTCGTTTTTCTGTCGTTCTTTTGAAGAGAGCAGCTTTCGCTGCTCTCATTTGTGGATCCGTGTCTAATTCTATTCATTTCTCATTGTTTTGGCCACCATTTCTCTCACCGAATTAAACATTTTGCAGTTACACTCTCTTTCATCCGCCCAACGCTCACACCCCAACATCGTGTATGTCACAGTATCCAAAAGACCACATAAAAGGCATTGATCGGACTGTAACCTTCTAAACCTGAACAGGTATTTACAGAAGCAGAAACGGCCTGTGAGCATTTGCGTCGGTTAATAATCTAGCTGCCTATGCCCACAGTTGACTCAGCTTTAAAGATTTGGGATTAATGACTTTGTCCATTCCGCCGCATCACGTGTTGCCTCTCACTTTTCCTGCCACTGGCCGATTAAAACTAATCTCTCAACCAACCTTATCTCACCCACCACTCGCTGTCCAATCTCCAATGTTCCGCCCCCTACGACTGTAACTCCTTCCAGCACATTCGAAAATCACCTAGTGATCATCCACAGAGCATACATATACATGATAGCTGACACGTAGCAATCTAGTTCTGTTGACGCGTGCCATAAGCCTCTTATAAGTTAGTATTTCTACTGCCTTACTTCAGATCGGGTAGAGGACTTTCTCCTTTTGGATTTGGGTCCACCGATATTGGTTATTATCCTACACAGCGAAGCCATTCTCTGAATAGCTCTGCAGGTCACCTTCTTCAAATGTTTCCACCAACTCACACCCTGGTACAGAGTAACCCCCAGATACTTGACGTACTTCGTGGGCATTACACTCGGTCCCACGCTCTTAAATACAATACTGTCTATCTTTTTGTAGTCTTTAAGTACTACACCCTCCGTCTTATCCTCCGCGAGAGAAAGATCATGGTCGCTTATCTAATCGTCAACAAGAACACACGCATGCATAATCCAAAGCAAGAGTTTCTTCCTGTTCCGTACCACCACCAGTATAGCGAGGTTGTCCACGAATGTGATGGGGGTAATACCCTCCTAATATTCGTAGTTTAAGACCCGGTATTAGCCAGGTTCCACAGCGTCGTCCTATGAGGTTCTGGAAGAACATGGTTAGCTTTTATTTATTACTTTTCCAGTGTTACAAGTTAATCACAACTAAGTACAAGGTGTGGTAATTGAGTTTCTTGAGTTTTTCTTCAATATAATTCTCTTTTGCATCCTCTCACCACTCCATAAGAAACTACGACTATGTGAAGCAGTGCTACACGTCATCTTGTAACGGGCTGTTAAGTAGCTGCTGAAAAATTATATCTAGTTTGCTTTAAAACTTTTCACACGTTTTTGCGTAAACTGAATTGTCTATTTTTCACATTTTTATTTTCATATTGGTCCAGTCTAATTATACTTTAGACGTTACATTATCTTAAAGATAAACTTTGTGTTAACAATCTTAATAGTCTATATAAATATTTATTGATAATATCTTTAATATTTAAAGGATTACCAATATTCTAATTTATTTTATAGACAGTCCATGCATTTGTTTGGGGTGTTACACCTATTTAGAAAGCCAAAATTTATGTTCCAAATGTTCCTGGCCAGTATGTTCACCTGAATGTGAAAATAAAACAGTACATAAAGATTTTGAATGTGAAGTATTTTCTAAAGCTAAAGTAAAATTTCAACAGGTGGATGACCCATCCGAAACCTGCCTTCAGTATGAATGTATTACACCATTAAGGTAAGTTATTTTATTTTTTTTAATGCTTCTTTCTATTATTTATAGTTTTACCTGTTTATTATTTAGAAATGATAATATAAAGTTATTTCAAATCATTAAGTCAAAATAGTTCATTTTGAAAAGGCTACAATGTCCATTTTTTTAGTATTTACACCATTTATGGTATTTACTTAGGTATTTGTCTATAGCCAATATAATATAGGAATATGGTATGAGATTAGTTTTTTGATCTCAGTAACTTTTATCTTTGCAACTACTTAGTTGGTGCTTTTAATAAGAATTGGTTAAATTGGTGACCCACTGTGTATTAAAATAATTTAGCTAGATTCTGCGAAAATTACACTTCTTATGTTTGTTGTGTTTGTAAATATAAAGAGATTATAAAACTTTTAGAGTCCTCTTGTCCAAGGAGAAAGATCCAAAACGATGGGAGGAGGAGATCCAACATATGGAACCTCATAATGATATAAGAAAACAGAAACCAATTTGGGAATTCAATCAACACAATGTAGTTGAGTATCTAAGATCAGTTTGTAAACTGGATAGATTTTCCGAAGAATTGATACATACAGTATGTGGAATTTTAGATATAAATGCATTTGAAGCTAGAACACTGGAAGGCAATGCTGTAAGGTGTCTATTTCCTAAACTGGCAATAATGTCGCACAATTGTGTATCAAATATTCATCATGCTGTTGATGGTAAGGGAACTGGAGCTGTTGATGATTTCAGGTAAGCTAAATGAATACGATGGTTTGCAAAGCAATCTTTATATTGTAAAATTGAAATTGCGTTTTCATTACTTGTTTAAAATATCTTGACAATATGTAACCATATGTTGACAAGTTTAACTATCCAGACTGCAGTTAAGGGCAGTTGAATAGTATTTCAAGTAAACTATTTTCTTAGGAATACGCCTAAGACAAGTGAGGTAAGGGTTAACCCAGCTTCTGCACAAACTACGGCTTAAAAAAAGTACAGCAAGGTCAAAGTGCATTGGATGTTATGTTTTTTCTCGAGCTTTCTTGTAGATTGGATTACTTCTAATGTTAAAGCCAACTTGAACAAGATTCTTTTTTTAGAAATAATATTTTCTTTATTCAGTTTATTCAGTTTAACGATTTTGAGGGCTCTGACAACATTGACTTACTTGTTAAACCCTTGTTATCTTCCATTAACTTTATTTAAAATGTCCACCCATTTATCCAAGATACCTATCATATGCATTGTGTTGTCCAATTTCTGTCTTATGTTCTTGTCTGACTTGTCATATCGAATATATTTGTAAATTAGTGGTTATTGTGGCGGATCCATAGAAGCCTATATGAGGAAAGGAATGATGCTTGTAAGACATCTTTTTAATCGAATTTTGACTCACAGTAGTTATTCCTACAGTAAGTTTTCCAAAACTTTTTGTTGAGGGGTCAAAGTCAAAAGATCGATTGGCCGTGTCATCAGTAGGGAAAATTACCTATCTCTTAATAGTCGAAATCTGACAGATGTTCCCCGTCTATGGGTGAACAATTTAACGCTTGGCAAATTCCTTTATAATAGAAGGACGAGCCTACATCAAAGATTTAACAAGCGACGTCGGAATAAACAATTGACTGTATAATTCCCTTATACCTCTTGCTAAATACTCTTAAAGCCAAAAGAATTGATATGTTTTGCAATTCCTCCTTATACTAAATCACACCACCAAGCCAGCGTCTGTCGTTTCGCCAGTGTAAAACTGCCAACGGATAACTCTCTTCGTAGACTAGTCTTGGATGACTTTCAAGAACATGCTCTCCTCTGTAGTTCATGGGCACGGTCCCACCAAATCAAATTAAGATGTACCAATGGTTTTTTTACACTAGGTGGTTAAATTTTTCCTGCTGGTTGCATCTGCGATAGATTAGACTGGACGCATTTCCTTACAGTTTTAATCACAATGTGCTGTGTCTTTGAACATAGTTAAACTTCTAGTGGTTGTCGCCATCCCTAAATGGCTTGCTGCTATGCAATTTTTATTCAGATTTGATTCCATTTTGGTTCTCCGCAATCTTAGAAAAAATATCGGGGTGTGTTTATACTGGGACTGATGTAATTCATCTTTGGACGGGCAATATATCCACGACGTGCTTGTCGTGGTACCGGTTACTGAGTATGTGTCCATCGTTACTAGATAATGCGATACTTGGTCGCCGCCGGGACGGTTTGTCCTAAAATCAATACTCCAAGAGCCAAGTCAGAAGCCTTACTACAACGGTACTCCAGATTGAACTACCGGAGCAGTTGGCCTTTTGTCAATACTCATGGAGTTCCTACCAGATAAGCACTCTGATAGAACTCGCTTCTGTATTGCACTTGGCGTCATTTAAATATCGTTGCCGGTTTTCCAACTCCATGGCAGTGGAAGGTACGGTAGTAGTACATGAGTACAGAGCGGTGGCAAGCCAGCTGCAAGCGCTGATGATGCGCATTGTTACAGTTGTTGCTGAGCTAGACTTAGAGCACTTGCAATATTCTTTAATTAGATTTGATTAAAGAACCAGTGTTCTTTAATCAAATCGGGGTGAAGGTAAACTTAAAACACAGCACACAAACGCTATATAGGTACCTGAAAAGCAAGATTTATTAAAACCACAAAACCGACAAACGTCACAACACGACTCGTCGCCATATATCCTTATCTCAAAAATACTGTGAGAGTCGCCGCCTCGTGAGCGAAGAACGCACGTGTTTCAGACACTGTAGGCAAAGAAATGATGAAAATATTTGTATTTTACCGACTTTCACTGCTCTTTACAATGCAAGACTGTAGTCAAGCTCAACAGAGTCTTCTTTTTCCGCTAATTTTTCAAAGACCGTTTCTTCGAAGTAGTTTCGCTATATAATTGGTAGGGATAAAGGAACTTTCGTTAATTCTGATATAATCGTCGCTGATTAGATGACAAGGTATTTGGTTTTTAGAACGGAGATAACTATTACCTACAGCTATATAGCCGTGATCGCATAAATGTTTTTACTTTAACATTCAGAGCGCTAGCAGAAATCACATTCTATCAACACCTCCTGGGATCATTAGAATCATTTGTCTTGACTATACTGTGGAATTCACTTATCCCGTACTAGTTCTGAGTTGAGCGTTAAATGACGGTCAACGACAATATCCAAGCACTCGAAGGTGCTCTATTTTACTTTATCTTTGATACCTACTTTATTTTTGATAATTTGATATAAAAAATATGCATATACGCATATAAGTCATGAGCAGCGTATTTTATTTAAAAAATAAATAAACGAAATAAAATATTTGTCAAAAAATAATTACTATTTATCAACCTATTTTTCAATGTATTTTCGTAATTTTAAATGTATGTAAAATGTGGGTTTGATAAACTACGTTATGAACGTAGTGATCCTGCAGGGGAATCTTGTACTATGATCATTAGCCTTCTTAACTCGATATTTTTTAACCACAAACATCTCCTACCAAGACATATCCTTGCTTAAAGTGTGTCCTCCATCAACAACTTCAAGAGCACATAATGTCTTTCCCTGTACACATGTCCTCAATAACTGTTTTTGCGCTTCTTGATAATGTTAAGAAGTTCTCTGTCATGGCTCACTTTACAACCTCGTTAGTGACAGGGTTTGCCCATGCTCTCTTCAGGAGTCTTCTAAACATCCACATTTTGAGACACTTAGGTTGACTGTGCGTCTGTCCCATATAAGAGAATAGAATGTATGTACATTTTTCACGAATCTATTCCTAATATCTAGTGAAAGTGTTGTGTTAGTCAAAAAGTGTTTCATTGTAAGGAATGCAGATCTTATGAGCTTGGATTTTAACCTCAGAGTCTCCATGTTTGGTTATCCATTGGCCAAGGCATGTTAATTTATTAATATCTTCTGTGGAGATGTTATAAATTTAAATGTTGGCTGCTTGTAAATTTGAACGTTCGCTTACTTTTTTACATTACTTTTTTAATATTATTCTAAACTTATTTTAAAGTAAAATTGTGACTTATTCCAAATAAAAATAGTAAATTTCCATTACTTTTGCAAGGTTCTGAAACTACTTGTGGCATGTCAAATTCAAAATATTGTTTGTATGGGATTAAACCACAACAAAGTTAAAATACCCTTTGACTGCAAAAAATGTTACGTGGGAAAAACTGCAAGACACAATTTAATGGTATTTTTAAACACTGTTTACAAAACGCTTTTAAAACTTTTGCAATTGAGAAAAAGGTTGGGGGAAACAAATATAAAGACACCGAAAAGTAAATTTATGAACAAATTAAGCTTACTGTCTGAAAAGAGGAAGAAGCTTTACTTAATATGTGATCATATAAGTGATTATGCTTCAAAAAATTTTACGTGAGAAAAACTGCAAGACACAATTTTATGGTATTTTTAAACACTGTTTAAGAAACGCTTTTAAAATTTTTGCAATTGAGAAAAAGGTTGGGGAAACAAATATAAAGACACCGAAAAGTAAATTTATCTAAGTAAGCTTACTGTCTGAAAAGAGGAAGAAGTTTACTCAGTGTGTGATCCTATAAGTGATTATGCTCCAATCAACTATATACATATTTTTCAATTTTCCTTGAATAGGGTTTGCATCTTTCGTATAAATTATCTTATACTGTTTCTAGACTTTTTCATATAATTCTGTAATATTTAATTTAGCTTATTTGTTATGTACTTTTTATTTTGAATTTTTATTTTCTATAAATCTTTGTCTTTATTTTATTTTGCAACAAAATTCTTGTGATTTTAGTGTCACGGTGAGAGCAGCAGTGGATGTACCTTCAGGAAAAGAATTACATAGTAGTTACACTTATTCCTTGTGGCCCACGTTGGTTCGAAGAGAGTTTTTAAAAGAAAACAAATTCTTTGATTGTACTTGTGAGAGGTGTTCCGATAAATCAGAGCTAGGTACTCACTGTAGCACACTTAAATGTCAGAAATGCGATAATGGAATAATCATGTCAACTGATCCATTAGGTAAGTTTTTGTTAATAGAACTTTTCTTTTTGTTTTTCTGTGCTAAAGTGTTCACAGTAATTGAGTCTTCACATCGGCTATGTAATATTTGAAGAAAGCTATATTATTCAGTAATAAAGTCAATATTTTATTCAATAAAATTAGCATAATTACAGTTGCAAGCTGTTTAATAAATCGTTTAAAGAGATATTTATGGATTTCTAAACTCCATCATGATTGACATCCTTATTAAAAACGTAAAATTGATCGGTTTCATAACAAAATGGAAAAACGGGAAATAATAATTAATACCTTTTCTTTTTAGACGACAAATGTGAATGGAAATGCACTCACTGTGAATTTAAAACAAGTGCAGTAGCAGTAAGAAAGGTTTTTGCAACGATCCAAGCAGATTTAGATAATGTGGAATATATATTTGGCCCAGAAGGTAAGTAGACTAGAATATATTTTATGTTAACATACTTCGTGGTGTTACAACCCTTCGTGGATTTTAGCCCATTTGACAACATGCCTCCATTCGTCTCTGTCTTAAGCAATACTTCTCCAATTCTCCACACTCATGGCTTTAAGGTCTTCTTCTATATTATTTCGTCACCGGAGTCGAGATCATCCACATGGTGTTTTCTTTCAGTTAGGGTTCTTCGCATACTAGCCGTATTATTCTTCTTTTATTTTTTAAAATATGTTTATAGCGTTTTTATTATATTGTGCTTAATGGGAAACAAGCTACAATGTATATCTACAGGAGAACCAACTTATTGGCCTACAGATCCAAATAAAACACCAGATATCTTAGATTTCGGTGTAATTAAAGGTATATAACAACTTAGAAATAGTATCATGTTGGGACCTTTCGTCAAACTATTCTCCCATTCTAATTGATCTAAACTCCAATCATGCCCAAAAGTAAGCCCCCAGTCCTAAACAATAACCAAACAAACTGAAACATGTTTCAAAGTGTACTTACAGAACAAATAACTATCAATTACCATGAAACTTAAAAAAGAAATACAAATTGATAAAGCTGTACAATATCTTACTGCTTCCATACAAAAGGCGGGATGGTGGGCTACTCCTAAACAAACAATATGAAAGAAAAGCATAAATTGTTCTCTGAGTGCAAAAAAGAAAACTTAGGGAAAAGTAGTAAAACACGCACGCACTTATTGACAAATCAAACCTAAACAGAATTACCAAAAGACTTAAAAATCTGTTAAAAGGAGAAAATAATGGGAATCCAAACTTATCTAGAAAATCTGACGCCGTTCAAAGATACAAATTATTCTTTATGAAAAGTGACAAAAAAAGGGCTAGAGGACGTCATAACTCCTTTAAATAATACCATAGGTAAATGGGCAAGAACAGATAAAGAGAAATCCGAGACATTCGCAGAACATCATTTGAAAGTATTTAGTCTATTTACCAGAGAAGTCGTTCTAGAATAAAAAGGACCACTTTATTCTTTTCTCGAGGCTCCATATTAAATGGAACTACCAATCTTCCAATTTAACATTACAGAAGTAAACCAGATAATACAGAATGAGATGCAGCCCAATAAGGCGCTGGGATACGATCTCGTTACGGGTAAGTTCCTTTAAGAATTAGAATAAAAAGAACCACTTCATTCTTTTCTCGAGGCTCCAGATTAAATTGAACTACCAATCTCTTAATTTAACATCACAGAAGTAAAACAGATAATAAAGAATGATATACAACCCATAAGGCGCTGGAATACGATCTCGTTACGAGTAAGGTCTTTAAGAACTAAGCCATTATTGCTACAGAAAAATAGAATTTTGATCTTCAAAGCAATATTAAGTCTGTACTACTTCCCTTTGTAATGTAAAGTGGCACAGATTATACTCATTTAAAAACTTGGTAAACATTTCTAAGCTTTTTAAAAAACTTTTGTTAAGAAAAATCAAAACAATATTGTATCAATAGGGTCCTATACCTCATTAATTCGGATTTTGTAACTAACACGCTACAATAGAACAAGTTCAGAGATTATACACAATAAAAAGAACTAGTCTCGAACACAGGCAATAATGTACTGCAGCCTTTTTAGATGCCTCCCAAGCTTTTAACAAGGTGTAGCACACAGGACTTTTCCATATTTAAGAATCACCTACCTTACCCTTACTTCAAACTGCTTAAATCATAATTTACAGAAAGGAGATATTTAGTTAGGTATAGTGAATATACTCATCCTTTACCAACAAGCAGTAACCTAACGCTTGCAATATTTGCAGATGATACTACTCAGCAATAGCAACAGAAATACTGCAACTACATCTAAACAAAACTAATGAATGGTTTAGACTCTAGAGAATTATCTACTTCAAGAATATGTTTATGAGCACAAATTAACCTCGATGAACATCCTTTACTCCAAAAGGCTGACGCAAAATATTTAGGCATTCATTTGAACAAATAATAATATAGACCAAACATGATGGACGAAAAGACTACAACTAGGAATTTTATATAAAAAACTTCAACAAAAAACTGGATGCTGAGAAAAAACTTAAACCTATAGATTGGCAACCAGCTGCTGCTATACAAAGTAATAATAAAACCCATTTAGTCATATGATTCGCTGCTTTAGGGATCGGTAAGGAAATCCAATATTTTTGAAATCTTTATATGAAAATACAAAGATTTCTAAAACTCTAAGAACAATCGCTAATGTCCCTTGATATATTCAGAATGATGCCTTACATAGAGATCTGCAGGTACTAACAGTAACTAAAGAGTGCAAAAAAATTTCTGAACACGATCAAAACAGGTTACGTATGCATCCTAACACACAATAACATACAATATTTGCAACAACCAACAAGCGAAGAGTTAAAGCGATATGATCCCTTGGACCTATTAAACCGATCCTGACAGTGACTACAGTGTGGAATCATTAGTGAAAGTTACGCCTTTAATAGCCCCCAACCATTGTGGTCTGTGCCGTTTTTAATATTCGTGTACAGTGTACACATATCGGCGTACGTGAACATCCCACCTGCAAACAAGCCTATATTTGTATTTGTGTTCTGATGCTTTGGATACTCTAAAGTGAAACAATTTTACTTAATGGTTTTATTGTGAAACATATCGTAAAAATTTTTAGATGTTATCCTGCTGCTCTATCAAACACAGGTCCAAAGACCTTCCTTAGAATTTTTCTTTCACAAACATGTAGTCGTTATTCGTTTGCCTTTGTTATTGTCAACAGTTTGCTACCATACATCACTTGGTCGTTGTTTTGGTTTTATAAGTTTGAAGAGCATATAGACATCTGTTACCGGCTTGTATCCTATTGTTTATTTTTGGTGGTTCAATATTATCTTTAGTAATTGTTGTTCCAAGATACTTAAATTATCTGACGTCCTATCTAGCGTATGAGAATAAGACGATACTGAGAAGAAGAACTGAATAAAAAGGTCACAAGATAGAGAGCAGTGGCAAAAACTAAGGGATGCCTAGGTTAAGCAGTGGACAATTTAGGCTTTTTAGATAGATACATACCAAATTTAAAACCTTACATGGCAGTTTATTTTATCCTTTATGTATGTTGACAATCACATTGGTTCACATAACTATGTTAACACCTACACTAAATCGATACCCAGATACTAATATTTATTAACAACTAGATAATTCGATGTGCCTTAGTTTTTTCGCCTTCTATATTGTCTTACAAAAATCTGAATTCTTACGAAAATGTATTACTCTTGTGATGTTTGTGGTTTTAGGACTCCAACAAAGAGAAACTTTATATAAAAAGTACAAATCTGTATTGCATCCTAAAAATTCGTATATGACAATACTAAGAAGTGGATTAGTTCAATTATATGGAAAAGCTGAAGGATACTCTTTAAGCGATTTGCCAGATCTAATTTTAGAGCGCAAAATCGAGCTTTGCCAGCAACTGTTAGATGTTCTCGATGTAATAGAACCAGGAAATTCGAGAATAAGAGGTAAGCTTAACTTATAATATAATTTTCTCTCTTCACACACCAAGTTTGCGCTTCGACACGTCAGAATATAACCTTAAAACTTATCACTGCATATGCGTGGTAAGCTATTACATTTATAAAAAGACGTAAATCACACAAACAAAAATATATAGGCTGTACCTATTCTTTTATGGAATGCTTTATTATACTCAGTGACATTAAAAGTGTTACACCCAGAAGGAATAATTTCTTGAACTTAATTTTTTAGCAACAGGATGACTATATTTAAAACATGCTATGATTACAATACCAATGTTTTATCTTTTCTACTTTTTGTAAAAATAAGTTTAATTTTTAAAGTTTTTTGTGAATAGTTTGTAAAAACCGGTTCGTATAGAAAGTTTTAGTTATTATTCCTCAGTCTAACTGTATTCAGTGTAACAAAATGCCTCGAGTTCGAAGACACTAAAATTACCACCATATTAGCGATTTTGACACTTTACTGCCTTATGTCGAGACGTCTTTTTCAGTAAGACAACACGCGTCCCCATATTGCTCGTCATACTATGGACTTTCTCCAAGACGCTGGAGTGAATGGTTTGCCGTGGCCGGCCCGTGCTCCAGATTTGAATCCTATCGAACATGTATGGGATATGACGGGAAGGAGACTGTCCACTTTATACCATCCTCCACAGACTTAAGCACAGTTAATACATGAAGGCAGACATCGATCGTCTCATTTTGTCAATGCCTAGACGTATACATATCGAATATATATATATATATATATATATATATATATATATATATATATATATATATATATATATATATATATATGTTAAATCACTAACTTCTTGATTGACTTTTTAAAAAAGATTTATTTCACAAATAAAAGTTACACTTAGTTATACGATAAAATGAAGCAAATAAAATTATATAATACAAATGTTATTAGTAAGAAACTTATATGACGAGTGAAAAATATAATGTTAGTCCTGAATTTATAATCTATCTACAAAATGTGGTGTCGGCATTTCCCACGAAAGGCCAGCTTTGGTCAGAGTTTGATGTCCGTGCATAGTCAGCTATCTCTATGGGAACGCTTGCTAAAAGAATGATGAAATAGGAACTGATATTGCGAAACCAAAGTGTCGGTAACCCTTGAGTGGTTCAAGGTGACTATTTTCACATATAACATATATATACATATATATATATATATATATATATATATATATATATATATATATATATATATAATATATATCGAATATACTCAAAAGCCACCATAGAACAAGAATACGCAACGACAGAAACGAATACATAGAGTCAGAAGAGGAGATAGCAATGCCGTGGAAAGAATACGCAGAAAGACTTGTTAATGACGAAAGACCAACACAACCAACGCGCAAAATTCCTTCCGAAAACTTATCAGGGCCATCAATAATGCGAAGTGAAATAGAATATGCAGTTAGAACCACAAGGATGCATAAAGCAACAGGTCCAGATGAAATTAATATAGAAGCAATAAAACTACTAGACGAGGAGAATATCGAAATCTTGGTAAGGCTGATCAATGGAATTTATGATACTGGCATAGGTGACGATCGTATAAAACGCGTGAAAACTTTTAAATACCTTGGCACCACAATCAATGACCAATCGGATCCACAACACGAGATAAAAACCCGAATACATATGGTAAGACAAAACCTAAATTTCGAAATACGCTACAGAATGGTCAAGTGCTACATATGGTCCATCTTGCTTTATGGCATGGAAACGTGGACTTTGAAAAAAACATCTATCATCAAACTTGAAGCATTTGAAATGTGGTCATTGAGAAGAATGATGCGCATACCTTGGGTGGATAGAGTTCGAAACGATGACGGCCTTAAGAGAGCCGGCGTGGAAAGAGAACTCTTTGAATTAATTAAAAAACGCAAGATTGGTTACCTTGGGCACATATTGAGAGGAGCAAAATATGAAATACCACAGTTAATCCTACAAGGGAAGATCGAAGGCAGAAGAGGAGCCGGCCGCAAACAATTATCCTGGTTAAGGAATATTAAAGAATGGACAGGAATACACAAGACAGGCGAGCTGTGTCACGCCGCCAAGAACAGAGTTCTACAAGTTCTAGTAATGAGATAGTCGCCTATGCACTTTGGTGTATGGCATGTTAAGAAGAAGACGTATACAGGAGTGTATTCAGCTACGGAGCGCCAAACACATTATTAATTTTTTTGATTACTTGTTAATAAAAATTCTTGACAACGTTATCGTTTCATTCTTGATGTAAATCTACGATGTTGCCAAAAAATAAAGTTTAAGAAATTAATCTCTCTGGTGTAACACTTCTAATGTCACTAAGCATACATTTATTATGAATTTTTTTTATACAATCCGGTACAATAAAAACATTTCAATAGTCCGAGACGCTCTGATTTTTGATAGTACCAAATTATTGAGATTCTACTGTATTTCAAATCATCACAATATATTCTAAATATAACTTTTGCATAAATTTCGGAAAATTACATTCAGAAGTTTGACCGTGAAAAAATTTACTGATTTCATCTAAATTTTTTGTAGGTATCATTCTCTATGAGTTACACGGTCCACAAATGATTATAGCAAGACATCAGTATCAAAACAATGTCATTACAAAAGATAAATTCAAACAAGAGTTGAGACAATCCGTTGACAATTTAGGGCAAGCAGTTCAGATCCTGAAGCAGGAACCACCAAGTCTTCCTGAAGGCCAACTTTACTTAATAGCAAATCAAGCGTATGAACAACTTAATGAAAACTTTGATATGCTAGTTGAAACTGCCTAAAATTGTTAACCTTTATTTTGTAATTTAATTAATAAAGTTACTTATCTAATCCACAAGGAATCTACGTTCCTGTAGTTGGCTGTATACCATGTATTAAAAATTTAATTAAAAATCCTTTGTAAAAGGTATATTTTAGGCCCAAACGGGCTAAGTTAAAAAGACAAAACGTTTTCGGAAACCATGTTCCATCATCAGTGTCCTAGAAAATAGTTAACCACTTAATTAAAAAGAACATAGGTTAAAATTTTGACTAAGGTTAAAGAACAATGTGGTTAATACTTACTAGGAGTACATGAATGAAGCCACCAAGATTAAATATGTGGGTAAAAACCCGATTACATATGTTTAATTACATTTAGTTTTAAATTAATGTTGAAATGATATAAGATTACAGAGTTACCGATGGATTTGGTAACATGGCGACATATGACTCCACGTTGAAGTTGCTAGTCCTGAGACGGTATGTCTTCGAGGACTATATGAGTGCAACTGATTGGCAATGACATTTGATGACAATATTGTTAAGTTATGACGGAACTAATCACAGAGCAGTCAATGTAGCTGTATGTTTCTACTTAAGACAAAAGCCAACGTTATTTAAAATTGTGAAAATTAAGTACATTAATATAACAGTATCAACCATCAAAGTTGTAGTTTTTAATTTATGAAATTGAGATGATATAAGGGGGCAAAATCTTTTTATGGTTGTAGTTAGGCAACCAACTATGCATGTGTGTAGTAATGAACTATAGAAAATTTTTAATTATATGGCCCTTTATGTTACTTAAACATTTGGTACCCAGAAAATATAAACTAGACACATGTGGAAGGTTGAATTATAGAAAATATTGATGTTAATGGTTGGATCTAAATATATTTATTTATAATTGGAGGTGTTCTTGTTTGAATAAAATAAAACTGTTTTAGTGAATGTTCACATGTTATTTAACTTTCAACTCAAATATAGAGGTCCTGTATGTCAGAAGCAACATTTGGTACCTAGCAAATGTGAAAATTTATTTTGAGTGATAAGTTCATGAACATAAATGTCTGACAAGGTAGTAACAGACTAAAAGGTGTGGAAGTTTTATTGTATTAAATATTATATGTAATGAACGAAAGATTTTATTTTGATGGTTGGAACATGATTATGTAGTATGTTGCAAATGTGATAATCTGCTTATAACTTAAGAAAGGTCCTATCTGTCATAAGGCAACACTAGGCACAAGAGAAATAAAAATAATAAGTTATAAGTTAGGTTTGTTGAAGGTATAAGTTGTCTCAAAGTGTGATGATGGTATGGTTGGCTTTGTTGATATTAAGTGAAACTAAAAAGTTTTTGCAATGTCATCTTTGCAGAAGAATAAGTTATGTGATTGGATATTAATCAAAATGGATATGAGGATCTTAAGGTGTTCGTTCAACTAATGTGTGAAATTAACAAAATTTGAAGGTTGAGATGTGGTTATGTATTATGTTTTTCATACAGAACTCGAATTATAACTTAAAAAGGCCCTATCTGTTATAAGACAACACTAGGTACATGAAAAACTTTAATGAATAAGTTATAAGTTGAATCTGTCTGCGTTGTGTACTGGACTTAACTTGAAATTGAAAGAATAATAGATAGCTATGTTTAAATTGAATAAGAAAGAAAAATTATGGTTGTTTTGAATGGATGGTGGGATACTGGACCACTGCAGAAAGCTGAGATCACCAGAGGTCTGCCACCAAACCCTACGGAAGAAGTGAGAAAATGTAAGAAGAGGACTGAAATGTTTGTCAGAGAGGGTTGCTGAATAGTTTGAGATTTTTGGGGGGCTAACAAGAAGCATGGACAGTAGTAGATAAAGAGGGTTAGACTTGAAGTTTGGTTTAATGAAGAGAAGAGGGAAGAGATGAAGAGTGTGTTATGTTGAAGTAAAAGTTTTGGAATGGACTGAAGTTTATTGATAAATGTGAATTTTAGTTGAGAGGAAAATTAGTGGTGAAAAATTATGAGAACAGTTGGCGATGAAGAGGAAGGAAGTCTCGATTAAAGGATACATGACGATTGACACAATTTGGGCTTTTTTGTTTTTCTTTTAAAATTTCAAGATCTTCATATAAATCTAATTTAAGGAAGTTTTTTTGGGGGATGTTGTGGATAAGTGAAACGTCTTCTGGGATATTGAGGGTATGGTTATGTTCTTTGAGATGTTGGGAGAAGGTGGAAGTATTTTCCCTTTTTATGTGTTCTAGAGAACGTGAGGATAATGATCTGCATGTCCTACCTATGTAGGAAGCATTGCAATCTGAACATTTTAATCTATATACTCCACTCCGATCCATATAATTGATGGGATCTTTGGAATCAGAAATGTGTTGACCCAAATTGTAGGGTACTTTAAATGACACATGGATATTTTCAACCGAACGTTGGATGAGATTTCGAATATCTCCAGAAAGACTTTCTTGATAATATGGGAGTGAAACATAATTGGGCTTGGTAACAAGGTCTCTGGGGAAAGCAGCCTCCTGCAGGGTCTTAAGGCGTTTTTTGCGGATGAGTTTATTGATAATGTTATGGTCATATCCATTGTTGACTGCTATTTGCTTAAGTATGTTTAGTTCTTTTTTGTAATTTAAGTCTGAGAGTGGAATGGTTACTAGGCGATGGATGTAACTATGAAAAGCTGCGTATTTATGCGACATGGGATGGTTGGATGAGAATGGAATTATGTGATCAGTCTGTGTAGGTTTCCTGTAGATACTGAAGTCGAAGTGGTCATTTAATCTGGTAATAGTGAGATCTAGAAAATTAATAGACATGGAAGATTCTAGTTCCATGGTGAACTTGATGTTGGGGTGAATTTGATTGATTTTGGCAAGTAAAAGATCAGCTGAATTGGAATTACCTGAAATGAAGACTAAGCAGTCGTCAACATAGCGAAACCAGTGGAGTATTTCAGGGTTTTTCATGATATGTGTGGATTCTAAGTGATCCATAAATATATCAGCTAATAAAGGAGAGAGACAGCTGCCCATGGCTAAGCCATCAGGTTGTCTGTAGTATTTGTTGTTAAAAACAAAGAAATCTTGATCTAAACAAAGCTGTAATAGTTGGATAATGGAGTTGGTGGTAGATAAGGTGATGGAGTTGGCTATGAGAAGAGAATGAACCAGATTAATAGTTTCTTGTTTAGGGACAGATGTGAATAGATTGCTGACATCAAATGATAGCATAGTAATATTGGGGTCAAAATAAATTTTCACATTTGCTAGGTACCAAATGTTGCTTCTGACATACAGGACCTCTATATTTGAGTTGAAAGTTAAATAACATGTGAACATTCACTAAAACAGTTTTATTTTATTCAAACAAGAACACCTCCAATTATAAATAAATATATTTAGATCCAACCATTAACATCAATATTTTCTATAATTCAACCTTCCACATGTGTCTAGTTTATATTTTCTGGGTACCAAATGTTTAAGTAACATAAAGGGCCATATAATTAAAAATTTTCTATAGTTCATTACTACACACATGCATAGTTGGTTGCCTAACTACAACCATAAAAAGATTTTGCCCCCTTATATCATCTCAATTTCATAAATTAAAAACTACAACTTTGATGGTTGATACTGTTATATTAATGTACTTAATTTTCACAATTTTAAATAACGTTGGCTTTTGTCTTAAGTAGAAACATACAGCTACATTGACTGCTCTGTGATTAGTTCCGTCATAACTTAACAATATTGTCATCAAATGTCATTGCCAATCAGTTGCACTCATATAGTCCTCGAAGACATACCGTCTCAGGACTAGCAACTTCAACGTGGAGTCATATGTCGCCATGTTACCAAATCCATCGGTAACTCTGTAATCTTATATCATTTCAACATTAATTTAAAACTAAATGTAATTAAACATATGTAATCGGGTTTTTACCCACATATTTAATCTTGGTGGCTTCATTCATGTACTCCTAGTAAGTATTAACCACATTGTTCTTTAACCTTAGTCAAAATTTTAACCTATGTTCTTTTTAATTAAGTGGTTAACTATTTTCTAGGACACTGATGATGGAACATGGTTTCCGAAAACGTTTTGTCTTTTTAACTTAGCCCGTTTGGGCCTAAAATATACCTTTTACAAAGGATTTTTAATTAAATTACTTATCTAACTTATTTATTACTTGTTTTTACTTAAGCCTTTTCTTCTAATGTTACTAAAGAGGGTAGTTTTTTCTATCCACATTTTTTCCTCAGTATCCACTATTTTGATTATTTTCCATTTTAGTGTTTTTACCAAATATTTTAGGTTTAAAAGAAGTTTAGTTATACGTTTTTTTTAAAGAGGTGACGTTCATGTTCACCTTAGCGCCTGCTCTTTGGCCCTAGGGTAGTGTGAAACTTCAGTTCCGCAAAACCTGACCTTACTCACTAAACATCTCCATCTCATAAATCATCCTCGGGACTACTCGAATCAAGTATAATTTCTAGTATGTTACCTTTGTCTATGTCCTATTTATTGAGTTCCTTTTATTCTTTTAGTTTTGCCTATTTTGTAACATGTAACAAAAATTTTATATGTGGGCTTTAGGGTAAGAACCAATTTAACAAGAATAGGTGTTGGCGGATGTAGTGGAATGTAACAAAAATGGAAGAGATGTGCTCACAACACAACATTGTGAGACTTAAAGCAGGCTATGCCGAAGGATGGCCAATTAAACTCAGGAGAGATTCGGCCAATTTACATGCCTCTAAAAGATAGTTACCTCCCAGACAGCACAAGACATCCCTGGGACGTCGATTTTATGCCATTTTAAGGTCCAAACGTCCCGGGACTTATTTTGGACGTCCAAGGGATATTTCTAGTCGGACATACCAGGGACGTCCCATAAGGTCGTCCGAGGGACGTCCCACTCGGGATGTATTAGGGATGTTTTCTAGATGTTAACTGTGTCATTTTTTTACTCAAGCATATTTTTTACAAAATATAATCTTACTACTAAACTTTATTTTAAAAAGTTATATTTAGTTTTAAATACCATTAATTTA